CTTATCAAATCTGCTTCACTACTTTGGCAGCAGCATATCATCATGAAGAATGCTATCGTTACGGTGACCGACAGAAACACAGAAACTGCCATTATTATTATTATTATTATTATTTTAATTTTTTTAATTTTTTTTTAATTAGTCAAAGTATTTTATACTTTTCTGTGTGTTGTATTTTGGCTGAAACCAGTCTTTTTATTTTTATAATGGAAGGTATATTTAATATTTTGAAAATTTATTAAATATATGTGGATTTGATGTCCCATTAATCGTTGGCCAAGTTATATATGCTTCCATCTATATTTATTTATTTTGACTCTCATATATTATTGTAATTGGATTACCACAACACGAGAAAATCTGTTATAACCACATAAATGAATTAAAGGTAATTAACGGCGTCTTAATATAATTAATTAAATGAATTTTGTAATACGACCGTATTTAGCAACGGCTATAACCACATAAACGGCGTCCTCCGCCGTGAGGTCGGCCTGGGCGATCGCCGGCGGCTCGACGTCACCCGGCTCGGCGGTAAGTATATCGTCGCAATTAGCGATGGACTCCAGCGCATCGACGGCGTTGTTGTATAAATTATCCCAGTCCCGAGAAACAAGATTCTCTCTGCCATAGTACAACGAATCAATCGCGTCGGTGTAGAAATCCGTACAGTCGCCTCTAATCAACGTGATCGCGGCCAACGACTGCTCGACGACGTCGATCCCTTGCTCCAACGCGGTTTTGGCCAGACTGGGAAGATCGGCCCCTTTCGAACCCCGGACGGGCCTCAGTACGCTTTCGCACACCGACGGGTTTTTCGCCTCGGAGCACACTTTGCTTATCAAATCGTTGGCGGCACCCTCGCTTACGTGGCAGCAAATCAACATCATCGATACTGCTACAGTCACGGTGACCAACACAGACTTATTACAAGCTGCCATTCTACCTTATACGTATATATGTTATATATATTTATTTTTGTGTGTGTTTGTGTTTTGGAAGAAATCAGCAGCACTTTTTATAGTTGGTGCAATATAATCTGATCCCACGTAATTTGTAATAATCTTGGCTATTGGCGTTTTTTATGTAGTAAGTCTCATTAATTTTATCTTTTAATACTGTCACTTTATTGTAAATTTATTATGGATTATTGCCTATGTTATTGCATGTGATTGGATTGCCACATAATATTTTTATTTGGAGCTTGATTTGCTTAATTTGATGCACGTAATTAATGGGCTCTTTTGCAATATATTTTTCAGAGTAAATGCTACACCTGGTGAAATACGACGAATGATCTTTCATCCATGTGTAAGTATATATACTTAATGAATGGTTATTTATATAGATTTATGGTCCAAAATATTCAGTATTTTTCACTGGGTATAGATATATAGCATATCATAGACCCATAAAATACTAATAAATAGACATTTTTCTTACTATTTTCTAATATTAATATATAGGGTAAATTACAAACACCCCTGAGGTATAGTCAAATTACAAAAACACCCCTCTTGTTTGGATAATTACAACCACCCCTCAGCTCTTCAAATTTAGTGGAATCTTCGAGATTATATGAAATATTATCACTTTTGTACCCGTTTTATACCATTCAAACTCTACATTATGAAGTAAGATGATCATAATATGTGATTTTTAACTTGTGTATATCAGTTTGTAGTGCATCAGAAACTGTATTTTTACACAAAACGAATACAAACTAGAGCACATTACATGGAATCTAGATGATTATATTGAATTTGGCACAATAAGGGTGGAGGTGTAAGAAAAAATCATAGTTGAGGGGGGTATATGTAATTATCCAAACAAGAGGGGGTTTTTGTAATTTGACCATACCTCAGGGGGTTTTTTGTAATTTACCCTAATATATATTACTGTAATGCATGTTTCTCACTTCATCATTTAGATTTTGTAAATGCTGCGTCCCGTAAAATACATCGGGTGATTTTGCACCATTGATCTACATATA